ACACACACACACACACACACACACACACACACACACACACACACACAGTACATATACAGATGTAGAATGACAATTTTTCCTCTCTTCCACCATCTTAGGCAGTGAACTTTGCCCTGGTCCCCCCTGTGGCACGGACAGTGTTCCTGGGAGGCATCGCATTGGTTTTCACTATCTTCCTGTGTCACCTCAGACAGCAGAGTGGCCACAAACCTGAATAAACTGGAGAGAACTTGAATGACTGACATTAGAAAAGGTTTATTTAAGAGAAGAATTTAGTTGTAAAGTCATTAACTGAGAAAACAATGGAATAAGATAAAGGTCACATCTATGTGAATCAACCTGCATGGGTTATTGTTGTTATTTTCATGTCTCCTAACAGAATACTGTATCCAAATGTAAATTACAATGATCCATCAGATTTAAGCATTGCTGGTACTCATTTTGTAATTTTCTCTGAGAAAACAGAGAACAACCAAGCTGTTAAGTCCTCGTTACATTTTGTCTGTGTGCTGTGAATAACTTTGTTGATGTTGCCATACATTTTTAAACAAAACAAAAAAATAAAAAGCTATTGTTTACTTTGTTTCATATGTGATTCTTCTTTTCTTTTAAAACATTTTATCAAGAAGCTAATCGTATACTCGTGTCTAATTAGCTCCTTCTGTCATAAACAAACTGAAACAGAACTTCATATTTTTTGGCACCTCATGTTGATGGACAAGATGTTTAACAGAGCGGACAGTATTTCTTGCCTGCAAATAGGATATTTGAATGAATTGCATTTTAAATGAATTGGCATTACAGTACAGTACGTAACAGGACAGTACAGAGCATATAGTAAGAATGTTAAAATAAGGTCCAGAAAATAATGGATAAATAATAAAATAGCCTAATAACTAAGCTTAATCATATCTATACAAAATAAATGTCCTTATAATCAATTAGAGATTTTTTTTTTTTAAGTCAAATTAGTAATACACTTCTCCTCTCGACCACTGGGGGCGCTGTCCTGCAGGAAGCGCTCCTCTGTAACCAATCGGAGACTCGAGATTTCAGCGCAGTGTTTATCGCGAGACCTCAGCTCTTCCTTTTCCCTTTTCGCTCTGAGCCCAAGATGGTAGGTACTGCTAGAAGAAAATGTTGAATACAATAGCGTAAATATCCACGATCATCCTCTCAATTAAAACATCTCGTGTTCATAGTGCCATTGTTTGCCTGTTTTAAACATCATTTATGATACAGTCCTGGCATGATTTCCTGTTATTAGACCATTTAAATAAGACTAGCTTAACGTTACCCTGGTCGATGCCGATGTAGTGTCGTCCACACAGCCGCTTCACGCCTCAAAGTGGACCAGAAACGAGCAATAAAAGCGCTTCAGGAAGCGGAATATTATGTTTATGGTTTTTAATTTGCCCCAAAATTAACCTAAGTTCCCAAATACACTTTGAAGTGTACGCTCGTTGACTGTGCCGCTCGTGCTAGCAGTTAGCTGTGGAGAGTCAACGTGTGAACTGGCCTGTGGAGCCTCCTGGGTGCCCTTAAGTCTCAGTGTAATGCTAAAGATTATACTTATAGGGGCTGGTTGTTAATCTATTATAGCTACTATTTGTTGTATTCATGTTTGTTTACTTTTCAAGGGAGTCGACATCAGACACAACAAGGACCGTAAGGTGCACAGGAAAGAGCCAAAGAGCCAGGACATCTACCTGAGGCTTCTGGTCAAGGTAACTTAGATTTACACATGCCTCACACTACACGTATATCTTATTTTGTCATCTTGGCACAGTAACTTCTGAGTTGATGTTCCTAACTGTCCTGTTGGGTTCTTACAGTTGTACCGGTTCCTGGCCCGCCGTTCAAATGCTCCCTTCAACAAGGTGGTCCTGAGGAGGCTCTTCATGAGCCGGACCAACAGGCCGCCCATCTCCATCTCCCGCCTGGTCAGTAATCAACTGTCTCTCATCCTGCCCACCACTTATGAGTCCTTTTGTTTGCTATTATTAGATATGTAAGCTAAAATATTAAGACTGCAAAGCCTTTTTTGACATGGAATGTTTGGTTTGACTGTTTTTATTGATGCACAGATCAGAACCACCTGATCAGTGTGAGTGCAGATATAACAGACCTGCATCAAATACAGTTTATTTGTCAGTGTATGAAATTTTATTTCCACCATCGGTACAATTCTGTCAAAGTGTTCTGATTACTTAGATGTTAGTGCCCTGGCCTGGTGTGAACTTCAAAATGCGACACTGAATTTTGTGTATTGAGATACACAGACATTTATTTTGGAGTGAAAGAGCGTAGCAGTAGATGACCTGAGTTAAGGGTCTGACTTTCATGATGTAGGTCGGATTGGGTTAAATTTGGATTGAAGTTGTTAGTCAGTGTTAATGTGGCTCTCAAATTGCATTACCCCTTAACGATAACAATGGATATGTATGAAATAAAGTTAAACTGGTTGTAAAATAGAAATATTAAAATAACTGATTAGACGTTCTAATGTTGAAGGTGTCTCAGCCCAGTGTCGGTTGCTGAATTTCTGACTTTGCTTCCGTTGCATCCAGATCCGTAAGATGAGGATGCCTGGCCGTGAGAACAGAATCGCTGTTATTGTAGGATCAGTCACTGATGATGTCAGGATCCAGGATATCCCCAAGCTCAAGGTATCAAAGCAAACTTCACCTATTATGTTGTTTTTTCCCCATAAAGTTACCATTCAATCAATGCTGTTTAGTCTCTGACAAAGTCCTCACGTCCCGTTTGTTCTCCCGCAGATCTGCGCTCTGAGGGTAACTGATGGTGCCCGTCGCAGAATCCTAAAGTCAGGCGGTGAGGTGATGACCTTTGACCAGCTGGCTTTGGCCTCTCCCAAAGGACAAGGCACAGTGCTGCTGTCAGGTAACTAAACATTGGTTCTATTCATATTAATATACCAGGATAAAGTAAGCCCTTGCTGTCCCATTGGTGCTGGGGGAACTTTGTCCACCAAGGTGGTCTACAAATCAAGCCCACATTTATTACACATTTAGTCCTGTAGCATAGTCAGTTGGGAATAGCAGTTAAGATTGTCAATAAGGCTACTTGTGTTAACTTGCACTCGTGGTACTTCTAGGCACTTAAGACAAGTGTTTGCAAGGATGAGAGGCAACGTGTACGTTTCCTTTTTGCATGAAAGGATTTTGAGGACTGCCCTTTTAGTCCACACATCTGTTGATTTAAGGAGGCACTTATAAGGGAACTTGGTCTGTAATGTCATGATAATACGGTAGAGTACTGCATGTATTTTGCTGCATTCACATGAAATCAGGCAGACGATGGCAAACGTTTGTTGGGTTTTTTCAAGCTGTCCAGACGGTGTTTGTCTACCTGATTCTATGTGATTGCAGCATTATGAAAGCAGGTTTTATCTGTGATCTGAACTGACTTTTGGCAATTAATTATTTGTTGAGCACTGTTCATTTGAATTAGTCAGACTTAAGAGACCTTAATGTCTCAATGTTATGTTCTATATGACAGGCTTCTCCTTTTTTAAAGTCATAAATATTAACAAATGGTAAAAACTACAGCATCGAGTGCTAGTGTGAGTTTACTGGAAATATTCATTAAGTGTGGTTTTAGAAACTGTCAAAACATGTCATCAAAATTAACCACTAAATTGGAAACTCACATTTATAACTTTTCATTCTTAACATTACTCCAGATTTCTTTTAATCTAGTGATCTGAACTGTAATAGATCACTCAGCCACTCTTAAGCTCCGTCAAACCTGTAATTTGATAATTTGAGGATTGTGTGCTTAATTCAATCTTTTCCACAAGTGGATACAAATGTGCAAAATGTGGCATGTTGGCATTAAAGTTATGAATTGGAAATACTTCTCAAGTAATGGATTTATTTTTTTTAGATGCTGTATATCATTTGTATGTTTTAATCGTAACACGTTTGTTTTTCAGGACCCCGTAAAGGCAGAGAGGTGTACAGGCACTTCGGAAAAGCCCCTGGAACTCCCCACAGCCACACCAAGTATGTGTATAGTTGATGTGTTGGTTCTCTTTGTCAAACACAAAGCAAAATGTTTGCGTTAATCTGTCCCAGTAAAATCTTTTATTGTAGCAGTATATCTATCAGGCTACCAAATTGGCCCAAATAGAAGACGATGGTTTTCTTACAGAAACTACACTGAGATGTCAGGTTTATACAATACATTCAGCATTCTGAGTGGTCTGATGTTCTAGTTGATACCATATTGACTAAATATATACAGCATTTGTCCCGACTCTTATACGGCACTAAAAATAACTTAGCATTCAGGTCACAGATGTAATTTGATGTGTACATGTGGTTAAATTACATTTTGAGTTGCCGGGGCAATGATATCTTTATCCATTGGTTTATTTTGTGAAGAAGCAAGTAATCAAGCTTTCAAGCACAGGTTTAACTAATGACATGAATTTCCTCTTTGTTACTTAAAGCAACAGTGAGTTGCATTTATATATTGGTAGAAATGGAATATAGGTGTTTTCTTTGGTGTATAATCAGCTGAAAATTCTAATCAATCAGCCTGTGAGACGGGCTGTTGGGTTGAATTCTGGGAGTTCACCAAGATAACCCAATGTAGTTTAAAAGTATTTTGTGCTGTTATACATGGTTGCTTAGTTGGAGGAAGGTAGATTTATTAGTTTTGCAGATAATGGGTGTTTTCAGAGCAGACATTTTGACTTGTAGGAAAAGCACAGCCTGTTACTATAACATGAATAATGTCAGTCTGTTATAGATTCGTCATTCATTTTACAATTTACCTTTGTGCTTTTAGTTTTGTGACATGTAAATTGCCACACCTCTTATCATATCTGATTAAAAAAACCAATGCCACTGAGCTATGGTGTATCTGAGTTGCTATCAATGATTTGTCTGAACTGAGTGAGTAGTTGGCACAAAAGTAAGATGAAAATTGTTTTTAATGATGACTCTTTGACCATTTTAGTGATTGTAAATAGTGTGCTAGATTCAGTTTGCGGCCATTTGTACGGCAGCATTGATGGAGCCAAAAATATTAACGCATATATTATATGCATAACTGTATTATGTGAACTTCATACTAACCTATTCCCCCTGTTTTCCAGGCCCTACATCCGCTCCAAGGGCAGGAAGTTCGAGAGAGCTCGTGGTCGCAGAGCCAGCCGTGGCTACAAGAACTAGTGCGTGTCTTGATTTTCCATGCAATCTGATACAAATAAAAAAAAAAGCGACTGTACAAAATGAGTTGTCTTTTGCGTTTTTTAAAGCTTGCAAATACACCTGTCACTGATTTTTAAGCAGAAGATGTCATGCTGGTTGACATCACCGGAGAGGACGGAGATCAAGTTAAAACATCTCTTATTTTACATACATCCCTTTATTTCCAGTTCAGCCCATTTTAACGTATATCTGACGTCACTAATCGTATGATCAGTATTGATAACGAGTTGGCCAAGAGGGAAAAAAAACTTGCTTACCCAGGAAGTGGTCTGTGAATGATTGGAGAATGTCGGTGGGTGTCGCAGTGTTTTCCTTTATCGCCATTGGACTTCCTGTCCGCCGCTCAAAGCTGCTGCTGCTGCGTCTCCACACACTTCCTGCAGCGAGCTACAGTTTCCAGAGCAAGCGACTGCCTGTGAGGGAGGGGGGGGGGGAGACGAGATGAGGTAATTGTGCTTTGATATATAACAGTTAACTTGGCTCCTTCAAAGGCGGTGTTGGGCAAAGATATAACTTTAAAAGGTAGCAGTTGCTCGTGTTAGTCCGGCTTGAAAGAATCCAAACTGTTAGCTTAACGTTGTGCGCTGACTTGGTTATACCTCCTTAAACATACCAGTAAATACAACGTGATATGGGGCTTTTTCAACACACCCGTGGTGGTGTCTAGTCATTTCCAAGAGGATACAGTTTTAACAGTGCCGTAAATCAGGTTAAACTTAGGTTATATGTTGAGAAGCACACTGCTAGCCGCTGCTAACTAGCGTTGTAACTGACAACGCTGTCAGGCAGCAGTTTACGTTAGCTGCTGTATTCACAACATTAGCTGGCGTTTGTCTATTACGTTTGTTCAATGCAAAGATTCGTAACTTCAAACGCATTTAGTTTATGATAGATCTGTCAAAGGCCGCACAATATTAGTGAAAGTATCTCTGAAGATTAGGTGTGCCTTAAAGGTGACTGTTAAACTACAAGAGTTAAGTTGTTCAGCCGGCTAACAGCCTGTCGTCCTGCTAGCTAACGCTCGGTGGATGTCATTGGTATTAAAGTTTAAACATTTTAACGTCACTTTATATCATCAGGGTTATAAACCAAGATGTCAATGCTGTTAAGTGTATACATGCCTCTGGTATGTGAATGCTCCTGAATTAAAAGTATACGGTAACCTAAACTTGCCCAAAATACCCCGAAGTCACTGAACAACAGGCTCATTGTGTGGGGGACACAATTAGCCTGCTGACATTATTTCTGGGTGTCCCCGCCCTGCACTTCAAGGACGTGAAGGTGCAACAATGGACACCAGTGAGCTCCGTTTTGTGTGTTTTTTTAAATTTTTTTATTTAAAACAGGACATCAGCCAGGTATTGATTTTGTCTGCACCACAGCTTGCATAATGTGTCTGGGCTGTTATGAAACTTGAAGGAAAGATGTGACAAGTTTATTAATTTATAGTCCAGTAGTTGCTCTTTGACGCACTAAAGTCTAATTAACTGGATCCTGCTTTCTTGGAGCTTTAACATTAGTTCAACCTGTCATCTAGCTGTTGCATGAATATAAATGAGATAATGGTAAATTATACTTTGTTACTACTACATTTGCACTTATGTTACTATTTGTATGTAGTGTATACAGTATATCCTAATCTCACATGAATTTCTAATGGTCATTACATTTTTAACAGGCTCACTATGAAGCTACCTCTTTATAGGGAACAATGTAAGATTGTTGCATGCTAATGCGTATTGCGAAACCTCTCAAATTCACCACCATTTCGGTCAGCAATTTGAAAAATCTCAATCCTAGATTCGAATTGTGAGAAAGACGCTGTTTCCCCAAAATCCCATCGCACAAAAGCTCTTTTAATACAAAAAAAAAAGAACACCAACCAGAAGTGGTTATCCACATTCAACCTTAAATGCAAAATAATGTGGCGTCTAAGCAAGGCGGTTGAGGATGTGTGACTGTTAGTCATTATGTACAAAGACGCACTTGGGGTCAAGGGGCACGGTAGGCCTTGTATTGCTTCACCCTGTAACCGTAATCTCTTCCTCTTATCGTGACACTCGCCTTTGCACAGTGAAATCCCAGGTGAATTACAGTTAACTACAATTATTTATTCAATTTATTTAGTGGATCACCCACACACTAAAGTTCTGTTTGCTACACTTCTACAATTGACTTTTGTCCTCCACTCCTCTTATGTGTTGGTACAGGAACAAAGATCTTCGGGAGGGAACGTGAGGCTTGAGTCAGGGACACTACCATGACATAAACTGAGGAGCGACCTGGAACTGTCTCCTTGTTTGTCTTTTGTTTTGTTTCTGTTTTGTATTTTTGTTGTTGTCTAGTCTCCACCTGTCTTACCCGGTGTTCACCCTCTTCTTGTGGAGAACATATAATGAAGTAGTATTTCTTTGGCTGAAACATTAATGTATGACACTACTGTCTAGAGGACTGGTATAGTCACTCCTCTTGTCTGCCTCCTATATCACTGAGATTACAGATAGCAATACAGGTATCAAAGGTCTTGAAAAAGCCTGTACTTATCGTATCTTTGTGGCATTAATTACATTTCGTCCAGCACCTACCATGCAACATACTCCGCAATATTCATTACTTTTTCATTAATTTTATGTAATTGTTGCAGCCTCCTTGTTTAAACAAGGTGTGTTTGTTTGTCTTATTCACACTTAATAGATCCGTTTTAATTATTTGTCCATTTGTGTAATTATTTAAAGATTTAGTGTTAATTTCGAGGAGCTGCTCTGCTGCTTTATATTGTTATCGCAATAGGAGGATTTGGGATGTAATGTAAACTTTTTTTTTTTTTTTTTTTTTTACTGATGCAATCTTGTGAAGAACACATTTGTTGAAATGACTGATCTTGTTCTGTTGTCTTTGAATATGTTAAAGTGTTGCTCACTCATTTTTCCACTGGCAGTAAACTGTAGAAGCTGACGACTCTTCAGCTCAAACTTTGATGGGAGCTTTCTGACTGTAACACAAAGACAGATCTTTAGCAGTTCACTGGATAAATACTCTCCCAGAGGAACCGTTACTCTGGAAGAGGTATTTCATTCCTTTTCAAATGAACACATACTTCTTAAATGGACAGACGGAAACAGAAACTCGGAGCAGCGTTTTTTGTGACATTGTCTCTTGAATCCTAACACTGAAGAGGGAGAATGATTTTGAGGAGATTTCCGGAACAACACTCTGACTGACATTCAGATACATTTTGATTTTCACTTAAAATCTTTAAGAGCTGCCAGATTCCTCCCTTCAAGCTTCTTCACTGGAGAAAATACGACCCTCAAGCTTGGTAAACCAACGTTGTCCTGATCAGCCTGGTCCGCTTCAGCAGCGAGGATGCGATCTCCAGAGCCGTCTTCACCTTCCACAGCAGAAGCCCTCCTTCATGGCCAATTTGCCAGCTGGGGTTCAGGCAGCAACAGCAACAATAACAGCTGCCCCAACAGCCCCGGTGGTGGTCCGGGGGGTCTCTCCCCTGCGGCCTCCCCTACTCCGGCCTCCAACTATGCCTTGACCCTCACTCACACCCACATACATATCCAGCGGCTGTCACCGAGGACGGGGAAGGAAGCCCGTCTCTTGCTGCCTTTGTCGGAGCTGGTGGGGTGCAGCTGCCCTCGTGCCCCGGCGCCCCCTCTTCTGGTGCTTTACTGGTACCCGCCAGGCAAACGACGGAAAGGTGTGTCTCGGCGCAGGCAAGTGAGGGCCTACCTGGCAGAAAGCCGTTGCGAAGCTGAGAGGTGGTCGGCTGCTGTGCAGTGTCTACTGAGAGGTGTGACCGTCACTGCTGACACAGGTGAGTGTGTTGTGTGTGTTCAGGCTGTCAGATGGTGTTACAGGACCATACTTGTGCTTGTTGTATCGCATTAACCTCAATTTGCCTACATTTTCATTGGCAATTCATGAATGTGAACTTCATTTGACTTTTGCCACTCATATTTTTTCAGTCAACGTTTCAAGTATTTACTTTTAATGCCTCCGCACTAGAGGCTGTAAGTGTTTGGTTTGTCCATCTGTATGTTCGTACGTCCGTCCGGTCCATTCTCAGGAATGCCTGGAGGGAATTTCATCAAATTTGGCCCAGCCATTCACTTGGACTAAATGATGAACTGATTAGAAATTGTTCGGGGTCACTGTGACATCACAAAACACATCTTTGGTCATTACTAAATAATTGATATTCTTATTATGACAATTTCACACAAATGTCTAAAAGGATAAAGGAAGAAGCGATAACATTTTGGACAGACGTTCAAAGTTTGCTTTATTGTCAATTCCACAATGTACTGGACATACAGGGGAGTTGAAAAGACGTTTCTCTCTAGTCCAACATATAAACATATAAAGTGAATACAGTGCAATATTCACTTGGATGAATATTGCGTGGATGTAAATTGCAGCTTGACTGGTTGGCGGAGCAACACAACCGCTAGTTATTCATAATCCTGGCCTTTGATTTATAGTGGAGTTACAGTGAAAGGCTTTATCAAAAGGTAAACATGGTTAGTTTGCCATAGATGTGTGATTTACTTTGGCTTACCTCATTGTTTGTGTCTATGAATAAGTCTTGAATTCCTGTTTACTACTTGAAACTACACAATGCTGCCTTGATTTATGTCTCCTTTGTAAATGCGTGCTAAGTATAGCTTAATGTCACAGTGACCCAAGACCTTTCTGTATGTACAGCATTCATATATTGTCACAGAGAACACACATTTAACCAAGAGTAGTTAAGCATTTTAGGGGTTATGTAGAAAAAAAAACAAAGGGGGGGATTAACACTAATGCACCTTAAGAGGATGTGAGATTTATTATTCAGAATATTTAGTTTGGATTTCAATGTTTTTTACCCAACTACATCTCACTTTTAACTCATACTCCTTTGTTTGTTTTCCTTATCTGTCCTGCACACACGCCCGTATCATTCACTGTCAAAGTTAGAGACCAAGAGGGTGGGGCTGCTTTGCCACCCCTTCCTCAATAATCAAACAGATAGCAAGGCCCTGCTCAGTGTTTACTTTGTGTAATTATCTTTTTCTCACCATTACTTACTGTATGCGTCCTGCACTTTGCCGGAATCGCTTATCTCTTCCTGTCTCTTTCCTTTTCTTTAGACTTAATCTTTAACATATAATACTCTTGATACTCTCCATAATTTGTCTTCCTCAGTCTTTACCTCTCACATCACTGTCTCCTTCCCCCAACAGAGGTAAAACTGTCAAATCATTTTGTATTTCTATCCCAAGCCTCTGTTTGCCCCTTGTCTGCTCGTGCCTCATTCATACTCTGTTACAGTTCTCAGTGTTGCCAGCCTTTTGTTTCACCCCTCGTGTCTGCTCCACTTTGCTCACATAGCCTTCATTCTTCCGCATCGCTCTGTTATATTTCTCTTATCCAATCACTCCATTTCTGAATCACTTGCTGTCTTGAGTCTGTGAGTTTTTATGCTTACGAACAACATAGCTGTGGTTCTCTGGGTTTTCTGTTGATTGTCTTTAGTATTGTTTGTTTAATAATCTGGGATTATCTGTGAGTGCATCTCCTTCCCTGCACCGCTGGCAAACATCCGTACTATACTAAATCTTCAAAGCTGTTTTATTTATTCTAAGCGTCATACCTGGGCTGATGAAAGAGCAGAGAATGGGAATGTTGCCTCTGCACTCCAGTTGGACAGATAATGCATGATTTATTATTATTTCATCACCTTGTTTTATTTCATTCCTATATTCTGAATGGTACTTGTGTTTCACCATGCATCTGAATATAAATGATTGACAGACACGCTGTCGGGTGGTAGTATTATGCAGTGTGAAGTAGATCCAGTGAGGTGAAATAACTAAATAAACGGTCAAATGCACTCAAACTTCAGGTTTGGGCAACACTGTACTGACAGCTCCCTGTAGGCTTGCTTTGTAGTGAACCTCTAGTTCCTCTCTTTGTTCTGGACAAGAACTGTGTGAGCTTTCACTTATTTATGCTCCTCCCCCTTTCTTTTTCAAACAGAATTTTCAAGAAGTCTGCTACCTCGTCCCAGGCGACTAATGTTACTGGTCAATCCCTTCAGTGGGAGGGGCCAGGCAATGCAGTGGTGTCAGACCCACATCCTGCCAATGATCAGAGAGGCCAACATCAGCTACAACCTTATACAGACAGGTAACACGTCAGATACTATATTTACGTATTAAATTAACATGCATGCATAACTGGTGTTAACTTAATGAATCTGTCTCAGAGCGTCAGAACCATGCCAGAGAGCTCATCAGAGAGATATCGCTCTCAGAGTGGGATGGCATCATCATCGTCTCTGGAGACGGCCTTCTGCACGAGGTGAGTCATGTTTTTGTTGGGCTAAGCATGGTAGAATTTAGTGGTTATGGTTTGACAGTGAAGATATTTATTCTCTGTTATTAGTACCACATATATATGTTAAATTGTGTCCAGAGATTTTCAAAAATGTCTGTGTTGTGTACCTGCAGGTAATTAATGGGCTGATGGAGCGTCCCGACTGGGAACAAGCAATAAAAACGCCCGTCGGTATTCTTCCTTGTGGCTCTGGGAATGCACTGGCTGGCTCCATCAACCACCATGCAGGGTAAGCATGCATCATTGATATCTGTAAAGAGAATCAGTCAAATCTGGTTTTCCAGCTCAATTGTGAAACCAGACAAATACTCAGCTCTGTCAACAGAAAAAGGTGGTAATTAAGGATATCTTATGATATATCTTCTCTGTAATTTCTTAATGAAACTTTGCAACTACTTGAGATGACCAAAGTGTTACTTTTATCAACTGAAACAGAAAAGCATAAATTAAGATTCAAAGATCATGAGAGCGCATGCCTCTTCGGAACGAGCCGAATGTCGGCCCCCGGAAGTGCTGCCAGCTGCTCATTGACTTGAGAGAAGTCAAGAAGAGTTCTGTTCCGTTGTAATGTTACTATATTCAGCGGTAAAAGTGAACTACAGTCAATGAGTCGTAGTCTGTGAAGGCCCGCTGCAGACGACCTGCTCAACTCACGCCCTGAAGCCCCTCCTCCACTGCTGCAAAGAGCTGTGTTTGCTTGTTTTTTTTCAAAGCTTATTCATATTGAATGTGACAGACAGAGCTTCCTTGATGTTTTCGTCCTGAACGTGTTATCTTGACATCGATATCTCTAAATAGTGGAAGGACTCTGTATTGACCTGTTGTTTTGCACAGTTCTCTCCTTATCTTTCCTCACAGGATGTGCTGTTCTTTGTATCTCCCTCAGGTATGACATGTGCCTTCGGGAGCCCCTCCTTTTGAACTGCTGCTTTTTGCTCTGCCGAGGCGGCGTCCGACCCATGGACGTGGTTTCTGTGACAACCAGCCCTCCTCCCTCCATCAACAGCCGTGCCGCATCACCCAGGAGACTGTTTTCTTTCCTCTCGGTTGCCTGGGGCTTTGTGTCTGATGTGGACATTGAGAGTGAGAGGTGGGTGTGTAATTGCTTAGACTGTACGAACATCAACCATTGGCTTTGTTCATCTAAACGTTACCGTCTATTTCTCCAGGTACCGTGGCCTGGGCTCTGCTCGCTTCACCCTGGGCACCCTGGTGCGCATAGCTTCTCTTCGATCCTACAAGGGTCGTCTGTCCTACCTGCCTCCGTCTATCAGCGCCACATCACCAGATGACACACCTCCTCTGCCGAGGAGACCCCTCTCCCGCAGTATCACAGAAGGCCTGGAGGGCTTCTGTCGAACGCCCATCCATCGCACCTGCTCTGACATGGGCATCAGTGAACAGAGGAGCCTGCGTAAGGGTGAGGGAGAGAGGGAAATAGAGGAGAGGCAGAGAGAAAGGGAGAGAAGAAGGCAGAGGGCTAGGGGAGGAGGAAGCGGTGTAGTGAGGGCAAGCAGCCTGGCAGAGGACAGAGAGAGGGAGGGGGAGGTGGAGACGGACGCAGAAGAGGAGAGGTCAGGGACATGTTCGGAGAGTTCAGAATCAACTGAAAGGGAAGACTGCAATATGGGAAGGGTGGAAAGGTTGGCCGGGATCAAGGATGAAAGGGGAGATGAGGGAAGGGTAGCGCAAGACTCCAGTGAGATGGAGGAGGAGGAGGATAAGGGGAAGGATGGCGGAAGCAGCGGTGGTTCTGCAGAGGGGGGGAGAGTGTCGCATGCAGGAGAGCTGGAAGAGAGCTGTGGGGTGGACGCGGGGCGAGCGGCAGACGAAGAGCAAGAGGGTTGTCTCACTTGCCAAGAAAACCTTCAGGGGGCCAGACAGGCACTGAGAAAGAATTCAGCACCTTCAAGCCAGATAGCCAACACTCTCTTCAACCAGCCTCTCAGTCAGGAGGCCGACACAGATTCGGGCCCTTCATATGGGGTGGAGGACATGGATCTGAATGGGACCTACTACCAGAAGGAACCCTACCAACTGGACGTTGCTCGTGAACGATCTCTGACCATCTCCTCTCCCTTTCGTCACAATCCCTTCTCCTACAAGCCCAAGACCCTGGACCAAAACCAGAATGCTTCTCGTCCGAGGCCCCTCTCTCTCCTCCAGCACTCCCACTCAAACTCCCTCCCCCCTAAACTCCCATCCCTCTCCCTGTCTCTTTCTCCCACACCCCCATCCTCCCCTTCATGTGCCTCCCCACACTCTTCATCCTACCTCGTCCCTCGTCCCAATACCCCAAATTCCACGTCGCCCTCGCCATCTCTACGCACACCGTCCTCATCTTTTAACTTTGACATTGCTGAGCCAGCAGGACCGCTGAAGAACCGTCCTTTTATCTCACTTTTGAATAACCCTCGGGATGACTTGTTACCCCCCCTCGACCAACCGATTCCCACCAGAGATTGGATCACCATTGAAGGGGACTTTGTCCTGGTGCTGGCCCTTTATCAGACCCACCTTGGGGCTGATCTTCATGCTGCACCCCAGGCCAGGTTCGACGATGGGCTGATCCACCTGACCTTTGTGCGGGCGGGGATCTCCAGAGCCACTCTGCTGAGACTGTTCTTTGCCATGGAAAGAGGAAACCACCACTCTGTTAGCTCGCCGTATGTGAGCCATATTACCTGCAAGGCCTTCAGGCTGCAGCCTCTGTCTACACGGGGGACTCTCACTGTCGATGGAGAACTGGTGCCCTATGGGCCTCTTCAAGCACAGGTACATCCACTTTTGCATCTATTTTGTGCTACGTTTTAATGCTGTGGAGTTATGTTAATAAGTGGATGTGAGACTTATCATTGGTAATCATTTTATTTTCTGATCTCTCAATATTTCACAGGTTCATCCTTCATTGGCTCGTCTCATCGTTGGTGACTCTGGAGTGAAGATTACCAGATTCTAATCAGGGATTGGTTGAGCTGATTGACAGATGCAGCGCTCTACTAAATTATGTAATCTCTGTCGTCATCTGTACTCTGAAAGAGAGGGCGGGGCATCTGAGAGACATAAAATAGCCAGGAATGCAGAAACTGCTTTTCTGGGGTTTAATGAAAGGGATAACCCACCGAGCCACGCATCATTGGAGCACGACTGCAGGGATTAATAGCGAATTTGAAAATGGATGAAAAATGCGCCTCATTGCACAGCTGTTGGATTACGCAAAGCGTACCCTGAGAAGCATGAAAACTGCACAGCCTGGGACAGTTAGAGGGAAGAACAATCGAATGTTTATGGACTTTTTTTTTGTGCAGATAGTGCATGTGTTGGATGTATACATAGCAGTATGCATGCAGAGAAGCGCTACCTGAATTTTGCCTTTTAATAAGATGGAAAGAAATCAGATCAAATTCAGAGAAATATGTGTAAACGTGAAATGCTATAAAAACTAAGATTGGCCCAACCTTTTACCTTCAACCCCACCCCAACGTCTAAATGTTTGAGTATAAAAACTTCCGTCCATGAAAGGAATGCCTTATCTGACACTGGACAGTACCGTTGTACCTTTGCCCTTACTTGCTCCTACATGTATACGAAACCCAAATATTCCTGTGCTGGGTTCACACTACGTGCGGCAGAATCAACAAAACGGCCAAACGTGAGCAGCTCCGTTATCGCTGAGTCGACATTGAAGTTGCTCAAGCAGTTAATTAGTTGACGCTTTGTTGCGTCAACTTTTTAGTAGCACGTCTGGCGTCACCGGCCTCCAATGAAAATGAAGACTGTTCCTGTGTCGCTCGTGGTGTGAACGGAACATGAGTCTCTGTCCACGTGTCATAGTGTCCGTCCACTACATCAAAGCAAAGCTACACTTATATACTTAGACAACTGGTAGACCCGCCTACTTACTGTTCTCTTTCAGCACGCTACTTTCCACTGTTCTAAGCATCAGTGGAGAAAATTTGGACAAACGTACACTTCAATGACCATTTTGTTCATGGAAGGGACTCCATGTAGAGCAGCTAGATCAAGCTTTTCAGGGTCATTGCGTGAGTAGGAGCAATGGAACCGTTGAACGGTGACCATTACTGACATTTTTACGTAATCTGCCTGTTTTTCAAAGCCGCACGACGATGACTTTAAACTTTGCAACATATTGAACATAAAATGATCTGAACAAAGCGAGCCTCTTTGTCAGTGGTTTAAGAAATGTTTCAGATCACTTAGATGTCTAGAAAATATCACTGTCTCTGAGTAATCGACTATGGAAGCGTAGAGCACTTCACATGCCTCTGTTAAGTAGTAAGTAGAGCATTTATGTTGCACAGAAAAATCACAACACTAGAAGGCTTTGTAGCTTTTACATCCACAGTAACAAAGAATCTGAGACTGTTTGGTCTAGAAATGGATGCGCTAGTATTTATAGCTTAGTCCAGATACTATAATAAATGGATCACATTACATTCCTCGCCTTAAATGAATTAAATGCCTCAATCTGATCCCTCTAAACTTTTGAAAAGTCAGACTGACTGATTTCAAAATTATTTTGCCGTAGATGCAAACAACGGCACAATACTACATCCAGCAGCTCTTTGCTGTCACATCAGACTTTTGATCAACTGATCTGTTAAATGAAATGATAAATTGGGTTTAAAATTGAAAATATCTTAAGAAGGTTTTTTTCCGATTGTTGATGTGCTCCTTATTAAAATCAAACAGCAGATCTTGGAGCCCGCACTAGGAGTTCTCATGTTATATGAATAAATTGTGGAAACGTTATAATAAAACCTGATGATATATTTGGTCTTGACAAAGGATAAATCGTACGCATGTCCAGTGTATCATTCGGTAAAGTCTTGTGCCGACTGCTTGGGTCACCATCCACATACTGTATGTCTTTGGTCATGCCTGGACAAATCAATGCCTTTGTATAATAAGCCTGTAAATTCTGGCTGCTGATAATGAACTGTTAAAACCTGACTGCAGAAAATGGAGTAAAACTTTTTGCTCACCAGGCCTTTACTTTGCTTCTTTAATTTGTTTTTTCTTCCATCGAGCACACAATGCAGCTAGTCTACCACAACTACAGAATGTGAATGCAACATGTTGAGTCTAGGCTTGTAACAGTCCCAAATAGCAGGATCTTTATACACTTTGAATGGAGTTGTTTTCCAAAAATGTTTACTCGCAATATTGACTAGTTTACCTTCCTAAACATTTTGTCGTTGATGGCGATAGCTTGGACTCTGGTGTTCTAGACCAATTTGATATCACAATGTCGGGGTATAGCCCCTCAATTGATCACGCCATTAAGTTTTTCTGTAGTGGGCTGCCTGTAATGAAATTGTAATTATTACTAAAATCATATGAATATATGAAATATTTAAATACACAATGTACAGTTAATAGTTATGTTTTTGAATAAATGTAACTTGATAAGTTTTCTGCAGCAGATCTACTGTACTTTTGTCACAATTTGTCTTTCTAATTCTGAATACCGTGAGAAGTGGTCATGTGATATAAAGAGGTGGAGCCACATATATCTAATGGTATTGTTTAAACTACTGGCTATTGGTCAAGATGTTTGTCTCCACTCTTCTCAAACACAGTACACTTAAAAACAGAGATTAATATCTATCATACAGTTTCACTATTCCTGTGACTTGTTTTTACTTGTCTCACTCTTGTAAATTACCGACTAATGGCAATTATTTTTGTAATACTTGTGTGCCATTTGGAAAAGGCCTTTCTTCAAAGTCTCCTGAGTAAATACATGTTAGGTCCCATGGCCCCAGAGGAAATCAAGAGGACAATCAGGTACATACAAAAGCACCAGAACCGCTACTGAGTGGGCATTGTGGTTGGACCTTTGTATTTATTTACAATGAATGACCTCATTCTTAAATTGTTATTTTTTATACCAAAACAATGAAATCTAAATATATCCTTATTAAAATATCTTCTTCGTGCTCCCTGGGGGGTGTGCAGCTAGCTGGAAACATCCAGACACTTCAGAGTGGTTTTTTTACAAGATGTAAAAGTTTACTTTTAAAATGTATTTATATTATATTGTATGTCCAACTTCAAGTGTTTTATTTTGAAAAGCAACTGACCGGAAGAGTCAGACAGCGCTTCCGGTGTCGCCACCTTCTTTGTCTCCGGCCCAACATTTCGACACCAGGGGTTGTCTATTTTTTCACTTAAGTTTTTAGGATATATTTATACATATATCCCTAGTTTTCTGATATTGAATGACAGTCGACTCTGAAATATTGATGCCTAAAAGTAAAGCGCCAAAAATGGATGACCTGGACTACAGTAAGTGGGCTGAACGTTACTAAATAGCTCTATTTGCATAGGCTACCTCTAGCTAACTGTGGCTAGCTGTAGCAAGGCTCAGTTTATTTGCTCAGGTGTGACACGGAGATCATTCCGCTTAACATCTAACGTTACATGATGGACCATATATATACCTCTGGCATCTTTTCCGAGAAGTATGGGTGTACACGCAAACCACACTTGGTTAAAATAAGCATTAGCTTAGCCTGACGACAACTAAATATTGATTGTTTCACTGTGCTCGGGGCTAACGTTTTAGCTAACGCCGGTGGGCATATGTGCTAACACCCTGACCAGCCTTCAGGTTGCACAAGACTTGTTAAAGTCGGCATTGAAACCGTCACCCTCCTCCTATCGTTAGTTACCCTGACTGCTGTATGAATCACACCGTCCTATTGATCCAGACTGTGGGCGTGGTTGGTTTTGTTTTAGAGCAGCTGTTTATTTAGGTGAGTAAACACGCTGGTCTGGGAGGCTTTGGGTGCAACTTTGAGCTCTTGATCTGGGTGGTTTGATTTAAAATAAATCACAATGTTTTGTGCAAAATGTGACTTTATAATGGGGCTTTAAGACACCACACACAGTTGCTAGTTTATATGGTACACCTAGCTGAAGTCTATTACACCAGCTCAGCAATATGAAAGTTATGTTTTTGTTCAACTGAAAGTCGAGTTGTTGATTCAAGTTGATAGTCACGGATTAATGGCTCGGAGACTACAGTCTCTATTGCTTTATACTTTGATGTGTTTCTAATATTTTGTCTGATATATTCTGCAAGGTGACAGTACAGCTGAATCAGCATCTCTCTAACAGGGCCTGGAATATTTATTATGGAAGAACTGGGATTTAGTGCAGGACTGACCTTTTAGACTGCCTACGTTTGATCTATGTGTAAACTGGCAACTGGGTTTATAGTCCATCTCAGTTTATTTGAGTTGTCAGAAAAAATATATATATGCCAGCAATTTTTATAAATGTAAATTGATACGTTGACCAAAAAAGCAGTCAAGGTTTGGGTACAACAGCCTTCGAAACCATGAAAAACAAATATGATTTTACAGTTGGTGAATTTCCTGAGACGATGTCTGATTAATATGATTGTGATCGATGTATCACTTAGCCTAATATTATCTTTAGCTACATCCCTCATAACTGGTTTTATAGAATTGATTGTGTCAAAGTGTTCATGCCATAAAAATCCTTCAGTCGACATCATCTAAATACACTGTGTGGCACTAGCCTGTTTGCCCACATCTAAAATGTGATCGTGTGAATGATGGAGCAGCATTCAGTCTAGACAGATTGCAGTTCCCCACTTTGAACACTTTTTAAAAGGGACTACTTCTCCAGTGGTAGGTAGCTGCTATGAAAACAGTTCACAGTGAGCAGAACAAATACAAATACATTCACCTTAATTATGATTAATTAAGTTGTGACTGAAATCTCTGAGAGGATGTCTCATCACTCAGTAAATACAACTTAAACTAATCGCCCGCCTTGACACCGATAGTGAGGAGCAATATTTCTTATTTGATGAGCTAATATCGGCTTTTGGAACCAAACCATAGATGTTTCTCATTGAAGTGTATTTGTGGGAGAAATTCTTTAAAATTCTGACTTTGAGTTGTACAGTAGTCTCATGCTCATCGGTGTGTCACAGCTCAGACAGTAGACAGTGGTAATGCTCTCATACATGTTATTGAAATGACAGAACAGGAGGCTGCAGAGTTTCTGTATTCTTTTCACAGATTGCACAAACGGGTGCAATAAGGAGATACGGGAATATGAAAGGGAAAGAGGAGGAAGGACAAGAAAGGGACCGATGAAGGCAAAATGTTTGAAAGTGCGGTGTAGTAGTAGTGCGACTGATTCAAAATTAAGAGGCAATTTTATCCTCTCCCAGTTCCTTTCCACTGTACGTGTTGTATTCACCTCTGCTAAGTTACTACTGCTTCTTCCGCTCCTCTCCACTGTAAGATATTGATAGACGGAGTAACAATGCAGTTCTCAAAATAGTTGTACTTGGTTTTTTTTGTTTTTATGTTACCAATAAAGACACAGTCTGCCTTGTTATATTGTTAGGGCACAGTCACCACGTGTTATATCTGCAGCAGTAGTGGAATCATTGTTCTTCTCTTCCCTTCCAGTCCCCGTAGACCTGAGCCCAGAGGAGCGCTCTGAGCTGGAGGACATCCGCAGGAGGAAGGGCGTCCTGCTGCAGGAGATCCAGAGGCTCCGAGAGGAATTAAGAGAGGCGATTTTGGAGGTGGAGGGGCTGGAGACCAGCACAGAGGGCAGGTAAGACAAAAATGCTCACAGTACCATTGCTACAATACTCGAAGCAATATCGGATCCAGCCAAAAGGACAAGAGTCGGCTTACTTGATCACCATAGTGTGCACAGGTTTTTATTTCCCAAATACATTATCACTGCAGTTTGTCAACTTTATCACTTTGTTCACTGGGATTGGTCTCATTTGGTCACATTCCTTCTGATTTAGAACTTGTCATCCTCCCAATGTGACTTTCTCTCACTGTTGTGGATATTATCAAACCAACAAAGCCCAGCACCCACGTTGGTGTTTAATTTTCTTGTGATCTTCAGTGATTTGTTATTCCGAGCAGTTATAATTATTGTTAAGGAGATGTAACATGAATGCTACGAGGGCTGGTCTTTCTTATTGAATTTCACTTTTTTGCTCTCTGCAGTAAAACTCTTCAGAAAAGTAGGCACGTGGCAATGGGAAGGAAGAAATTCAATATGGACCCCAAAAAGGTAAAACTCTCGGATGCTTGTACATGCCTCCTCCGCCTTCACTCTGTCTCGGCTGTGTAGTGACGGACTCTTCCCCCTCTCCACAGGGCATTGTGTTTCTGGTGGAGAATGAGCTGCTCAGACACACTCCAGAGGACGTCGCCCAGTTTCTCTACAAAGGAGAAGGCCTCAACAAGACTGCGATAGGAGATTACCTCGGAGAAAGGTGATTGGTCTTAAAATATCCCCCGTCCTTCTCCTCTTTTTGTGTATCAGCCATTTGTAACTGTGATCTCTCTGTTGCTGTTCTGCAGGGACGACTTCAACCTCAAAGTTCTTCAGGCTTTCGTTGACCTCCATGAGTTTACTGATCTCAACCTCGTGCAGGCCCTCAGGTAAACTATGTTTGATGTGTATGGAATCTCTTGATTAGTGTCCTGGCATTGACTCCGATAAACAAACAAACCTTCTCCATGATGGAAAGTCCCACTCTCATTGTCCCTTCGGGGGGGGGGGGTGTGCAAGATAGCTGTAGTGACTGTCTAACTCTGCATTGATTGCCAAATTTGTTCTCTCTGACTTGACCGAAACCTCGACCTGTTCTCTGCAGACAGTTCCTGTGGAGTTTCCGTTTGCCTGGTGAAGCGCAGAAGATCGACAGAATGATGGAGGCCTTCGCTCAGAGATACTGCCACTGCAACCCCGGTGTCTTCCAGAGCACCGGTAAACACAAACGCGTTACAATGCATCTCATGTGGTGTAGTCTGTTACCAACCTAATGTGGGACGACCTCTGTGTGTGGTTGGCAGCCGTCTCCTTGAATCGAGGTTTATTTTCCTATGACGTTTTTCAGGAAGGGGCACTTCTCATAAGGCGTGCACTCACACAAACAACAAGCCCTTTACCAGATATGACTAGATATGAAAGCATGCAGAGTCTGCCAATTTGCAAACATGGCTTCTCTGTTGTACCATTTTCAGTTGTTTTTTTTGGGTTTCATTCATTATGTCCTTAAATTGTTTGAGATGAGGTTCAGCTCTATCCTTTTAGTTTTTGTGCAGAACATAAATTCAGCGCCGTGCATTCTCTTGCATGTCTCTCCTGTTCGCAGACACGTGTTACGTGCTGTCGTTTGCCATCATTATGCTGAATACAAGCCTCCACAACCCAAACGTGAGGGACAAACCCGGACTGGACCGCTTCATCTCCATGAACCGAGGCATCAACGAGGGAGGAGACCTGCCCGAGGACCTGCTCAGAGTACGATGAGCTCTGCGTTATGTTTCTCTTTGGAGATGGATAAGTGACAATTAAAATGTAGCCAGTGAAGATATTTTATCATCTTATGTGTTATTACAGAATCTCTACGAAAGCATTAAAAATGAGCCCTTCAAGATCCCAGAAGACGACGGCAACGACCTGACGCACACCTTCTTTAACCCGGACAGAGAGGGCTGGCTTCTGAAACTTGGTGAGATGATGCCAGTGAGAGTACTTCTACCCTTCATGTTGACTCGGTTGACACTGATCTTACAATTATTACGGATATCAGGACTGTAAACTTCCACAGAGAAAGGACAGTGATGTGTTCTGTATGCGAGTCGTGTACTTTGTTCCGTCTTCAGGCTTTGTGCTATGATGAGCCGGCCCTGTTGTCTGAGGTTTGCTGGCTCTTTGCCTCCACTTGGACTAACAGCTCTGTGTTGTGGCATTTGAACATTGCCATAGCATGATGGTGAACAAGAGACTCGCTTTTTCTTCCGTCATGGCAAAATCTGATTTTCTTTTGCATGGCGGGACCCGTGATCTCTGTGTCACTAATTAATCTCTTTCTCTTCCTCCTCCCCGTCCGTCTCTCTTTCTCTATTTGTCCTCTGTCTTCCTCTAAATACTCTGGTCCCCTTTGTCTCTGCTTCCACCCTCTACTGCCGCTGCTTCTTTTCTCAGGAGGTATGTACTTACAGTTGTTGTAGTTTTAATAAATAGCCCCGTAGTTAGCTGTAAGAATGTAGAAATTGTAGAATAGTATCCTTTCAACTTTGACCACCGAAGGAAATCTTTCTGTCCCTCCTCTCGCTCATCGACATGACTGTGCTCTTGTGTTTCAGGGGGACGAGTGAAAACCTGGAAACGACGATGGTTCATTCTCACAGACAACTGCCTTTATTACTTTGAATACACCACAGTAAGTCTGAATGAAACTGTCCTAACAGGATGTTGCTGCTTTACGTGCATTGGCTTTTCTAAGTATATTTTAAAAAAGCAAAATAATTAGTGGCATTGTTTTGTTATCTTGCAATAAAATGTGCTGATGTTTAGGATTGCAAGGCCGCTGGGAAATTGTGATCGTCTGTTAAAGCTTATTTGAGGCCGAGGGGTAAATACTACACGGTATCTTTAAGGAAGTTACTGAACTCATAACTGTGTTAATCCCGAGAGGGCAAACTGGTTTTGTAGCCCAAACACAAAAGTAACAAAAGAGACGCAAGTCAGACTGGTCTGAGAGACAGCATATCACAAACGTACTGCTGTAACAATATCAACACAAACTCATATTCCAGGAGGATATCTTATTTAACTTTTTTTGGTTTACTCATTTATTAGATCTTAACTGTTTGATTACTTATTCATTGTACTTGTTTAGTTTTTTACTGATGCCTCTTGTTGTTGCACTTTATCCTTTGCTGCTGTAGTTCTGCAGATGTCCCTGCTGTGACTAATAGAGGATTATCTCTTTTTCTTTAAACAAAGGCACTTGAATGTTGCAATAACTCTTGCGGCTCTAATCTGCTGTGATTGCGTGTTTCACTAACAGGATAAGGAGCCGCGAGGTATCATTCCTTTGGAAAACCTCAGCATCCGGGAGGTAGAAGACCCAAGAAAACCTGTAAGTCTGCATTTTCTTTAAACCGCCATATGTAATTATCATAATTGTACCTTTTATGAATTTAGTGTGTGTGTGTGTGATTGTTCATCAAATTTCCCCTTCCTTCCTCCCAACAGAACTGTTTTGAGTTGTACATCCCAAACAACCGTGGTCAGCTGATTAAGGCGTGTAAGACGGAGGCCGATGGGAGAGTAGTGGAAGGAAACCACAATGTGTATCGTATCTCCGCCCCGACACCCGAGGAGAAGGATGAATGGATCCACAGCATCAAGTACGGAAATGCAAATGAAGGATAATGTCACAAGAAAAATGGGGGTAGTGGTAGACCAGTAAGACATTTTAGCCGAGGAAGAGGTCCCCTCTTGTTAATTTAAACATCCTAAATGCTGTCTGGTCTTTTCAACTGTATATTTTCGTGATCCACACAATTCAATAGTGTTTCTTTGTCACTTATACAGATCTGCTGTCAGTGTTGATCCCTTCTATGAAATGCTCGCTGCCAGGAAGAAACGTATATCTCTGAAGAAGAAGGAGGAACAACCCTAGAATATTCCCTTCATCCTCTCCCTGTCTTCCTTTGTCATTCTCATCCCTCCTTCCAACCCTGGACACAGGTTTTCATCCTTGCTCCTCACTACCCGTTCATCAGTTTTACTTACCCCTCTTTCCTCCGTCCCCAAGAATGCATCCTCTCCCCGATAGGAGGACTCCTTGCTGTCCTCTCGACTAGACTCTTGAAAGCCACACCCAGAGTGAAGCGTTGGCCCACTGTGGCCGCCTCTTGTAATCTTGTTTCTTACACTACCGCTGTTCTACACAGCCGGAGCGCCGTCTATCCCGTCTTCTCACCACATTCCTCTCTCGTTCAGCATTTAAGTAAACTGTGAAATGTGTCTTAGACCATATCCACACTGTGTGTGATTTCAAAAAAAGCATTCTCAATCCTGCTTACCCAACGTTGACAAATAAGCAAACGCTGGGGAAATGGAGGATTCATGATTTTCGGTCTCTGAATTTAATTATGAGAATCTTACTTTTTTCCTTCCTACTTCCTCGTTCACAGTTTCTCCGTAAACCACAAACAAATGCAGCTTGTGCATGCTTATTAATTTAATACTACTTGTTATGCACGACATACTTTGAGACTATCTGGAAACGACGTCTCTTTTTGACATCTCTCTGCATTAGTGTGAATATGGTCTTATTAAGGGGAGCAAGCAGCTTCGCTTCCTGTGAAGTCGTCTTTCACACGTGTCGACGCTGCCTGAATGAGAAATTGCCTTTTCTTGACGGTGCTTCCCCCCCCAGAAAGAAATGTGAACGCACTATTCAAACACTAACGAGATTTATTTTTATTCAATGTTGGTCAGAGAGGAATCCGTCAAAGCAGCTCCTGATGAGACGTGCCCATTGCTTCCTATAGTACTCCTGCTGGCTCTGACACAACGTGCTCCTGTCTTCACTTAGACACTGAAACCATTATGTGAGGAAAATGTCACTGTTCATCACTGTTGATCTTCAAATATGGTCGTTTCTCGAGGCAGAAAGGTTGCTTCACCTGCAGAGTTAACGGAGACAGCTGTTCCTCAACTTCCAGACAGCTGCTTGTTTCATTTTACTGAGACAATATATATTATGTCTTCTTCAGCATGTTTTTTTTTTTTTACATGTTTGAGCAATAGCAGAGTAAACTGTAGTTCCAGTCCGTAGGCTTGTTTACAAATCTTTCACACCACCCTTAGCGATCGCGTCCTCTCGTACGTAATGTTCTGAGCGCACCACGAATCATTTCCTTCTCGCCGACGAACATTGACATCTTTCTCACAATAACTCTGTCAGACATTCAACTGTTAGAGCTCGGCCTGTCCGCTAGAGTGAGATTTAAAGAAATCACAAAGGCAGCTCATTACGATGTATACTTTTTTTGTAAATAGTTAGCATATTTGTTTACGATACACATAGAAATGATTTAATTTATTCTTTATCTTTTGTTAAAATCTGATTTTTGTACGAGCTACTGTAGGACTGCATGTAGATAAATTGAGGTGTCGATCGTAGGTACCGACGCGTCGCTGATCATGCTAGTGCACTGATTTGAAAAGTGTTAGTGTTCCCTGTTGACACGGAAGAATTGCATTTGATATGGAGGTTGATTTATGCGTAGAGTAAATTGTTTAGAGTATTAGTTTCATTGGAAAATGAGAAGATATTTAGGCGATGTTTAGTAGTCTGAGTTATCTCTGCACCACCCTGTGGGTTTAAACCGGACTCTGTAAAGCACAAGCAGTAGTGAGTCTCACACTCTGTTAAACTATCATCCACTTTTACTTTCTGCCCAGTGTCCACTTGAAGTGTGACGAAGCTGTTCACAACTTTTGCGTCATACCACAGTGATAAGAGACAAGAAAAACAAGGAGCACTAACAAAGCCTTGATTCAATATATAATAGTGCAATTTCCAGATGTAATGAATCGGTAACAAGTCTAGATTTGTGTCCAGTGATAGCTTTGCTTGACATCCAGTTCATGAACTTATTACTAGTAGTTTGTTGAATTGGCATTTTAAATAGTAGTTGAAATACTTGTCTACTGCACTTTATCAATTTTTAGCATTTTGGAGAAAATGCTGTTACTTTGACTGACAATACTCCGTATCACCCTCTACTGGCGACGTCACACACTGCAATATGATGAAGGATGAACCATGAACTGTGTAGAAATACTGTAAAACGCCACCACCTGGTCAGGGCCAGCTTTAGCAGTTTCTTTTTAACAACATGTACCATATTTGTTCACCTGATAGAGATCATGTTGTTTAAAGTGGAATGAGGTATTTTCTCTCTGATCAGAACACGTAGAGCTGGTTTTAAAGACGCAGCAAGTGATTCATCTTTAGAATACAGATCAAGGATTGCCTTTTACTTTCCTACTTCATCAAACTGACAAAGGGCCTAACTTTAAACCTCCATGTGAGTGCATCCACACAAAGCATGGACTGTCTGTAGGCCTTCACCTTCTGGGTATTCTTGAAGTGCAAAGTTGCCAAAAAAAAAAAACAGTTGGGACAACAAATATTTCCATTCAAACTAAATATTGAACACTGAAATGATCAGATTGAAACTGGACCTCTTTTTCTGATTCCACCTTTTTCAGAAAGTGTTAATTTTGTATTTATTTATTTTTATTTACTGTGAGGTGAAGATGGATAGATCATCTGTAAATGTAGCAAACTGAAAACGATACATTGGTGCCAGTAAACTACTGTGTAACAATAAATGGTAAACAGAGGTGATGGGCTGCTGTATGTGTTTTAACTTTGGTGACATTCTAGCACACTAACGCACTAAACCAAGATGGTGGACATAGAAATAACGCTAACGTTATACCTGCCGAGCATCAGCATGTAAGCAATGTGAGCACGTTGGAACAGTTGACCTGTGTCAGGTTTGGGATTGACTTCCTCAAGTGATGACAAACAACTGTTTTTATACCTTTATTTACATTTTCACAACATAAAAAAAAAAAGTCACACACACAATTTGTGAAGTCAAAAATCTAACCTGGCCTAAATTCAGTGTTTTATATACAGTACATTAACAAATATACAGTCAAGGCCAGATCATGTAAGGAATTAAGAAGCCACAGTGACCTGATCACACAAAATACACAATTTCAAATGGATAAATCAAAAAATATTGGGAGAAAAAAAGGGATAAATGTCAGCGACGTGTTAAGTGAACAAGCTGATGCGTTGTAGAGTATATGAAAGGGTTTTGTTTAAAAAAACGAGGCTGTGAAACTTAGTTCAGTCTGACAAGCTTTGCAGTATTTCTCCCAAAATAAAACATCAATCTATCTATGACACATACATTATTTAAAATTGTGTAACACAAATCAATTCTACATCTTCTTTGGTAAATTAGCTGTATTTTCTGGTACACCTTTTTAAAAAAAAAAAAAAAAAAAAAGGGAGCATCCAGATTACAAGTTGATTTCTCAACACATTTCTATAACTATCATCCAAACTAACAGAACACGTGTAAGGTCTGCTAATTTCATCACAAACCCCACAGTAGTAAGTCTTATTAACAATATGACAATATGTCACATACAGCACTTGTCTGTTTAAAATAAAACTCTAGCTCATGATTACAGTAGAGCCCAAAGTCCACTAAGTCCCTACAAAGTCTCTGTCAACACTGATAAGACTTATTGTTACTTTTCTTTTTATTAAAGAAACTGTCTCTGGTTAAGTTTAGAGGAAGGCATTGAGTTGGTGCCGCTGAGTGATTATCCTAAAATATTCCTGAAAGCCAAAAGGGACTTTTGTTTTATTCTCACACATTTTGATCTACGGTAAATGTTCTCATGTTATGGGCTTTTAGTGACAGGGGTCAAATGGGTATTTGGCGACGCCTCCAAAAAGCTCCACCTCTGACTCGGACCAAGCGATGACGTCTCCTCTGAGGTGGCTGCCGCAGGAGGCCAGGCTGTAGATGTCGCTGGCAGTGAGGACATGTGACCACATGTGCACGTCCGACATCTCGCCCACAAATGACTGAGTGGCATCAAAACGGCCTCCCAGAATGTCCTGAAGGAGAAAGAGAGAGCATTCGCCATTAGCAGTAATCATTGCTTTCTAAAACAAGAGTTTAATGTCATGAAGAACCAGAACTGTAATTGTTTCAAGCTCAGAGCTCTTTGTTGGGCATTTATTTAATATTTAGCAAATACATTTCAAATTTTTCTGCATTCAATGGCTCCCTTCCTGCAAAGTGCATCTACAGAGAATAAATGTCTTTGTCTTTACCTGTTCCTGTCCCATGATGAAGACTCCTCCAGGTTTGATAGGGTGCCAGGGGGAAAGATTCAACCCGGACCCCCTCTGCACTCCGTCTTGGTAGGCCTCCCACTGTCCATCCCGTGTTGACCAAGTCACACACACGTGGTGCCACTTTCCATCCCCAAGGGACAGAGGGAGCGTCACAGCCTGGGGATGGTGAGACAATGATATGAACACATCCTGGGGTAATACAAGTAAGTCTAGAAGAAAGGAAACCACACTTAAGATGGTGTGAAGCTGCTTAGACAGCAGGTAAGTCTTTTAAGATATGTCTGTCAAGACATTAAATGTTTAGGATTATATGTGTGACAGTTATTGAGTGCTGCACTGTTTCTATATATCCTCCCTCACCTTGTCATCGATCAGCAGTTCCATGGGGTTGTTCCCCCACTCGATGAGCACCAGTTCATTGGCCTGTCCGGGTGCCGAGTAAGAGAAGGGCGTCCCCAGGCCGGGCCCCACGCCCGCCTTGATCCAAAGACACAAAGTCAGAGCGAAGATCTCTTGCATCAGCGTCCTCTTCACCCGCCCGTACATGTAGTTGGTTCTCATGGGGAAGCTGATCTGGAAGGCATCAGGACTCTTAAACTTTGTCCTGCTGGGTCCTGTTTTTGAAAAAGAAATAACATCGTACCGTGACAAAACAATCTCGCCAAAAGTCATGTCACGGTCCATTTAGAAACTGTCCTGGTCTGAAACCTGGTCTGAGTTTGCCCAGTCATCATGAAATTGTTTTGTAGATGTTCAAATTTTAGTTTCTAAGATCTTAAACTTCCATTTAGTAGCTGTTCTGGAGCTTTTGATCATAACTCATTTTGATTTGGTTTTGTTAACAGCCGTTTCCAAGGTCAAGAATGAATTTTAAAAGTCTACTTCAATCTTGGTTTTGATAAAAATCTTAGAAGATAATGACAGAAACACTTATTTTCAAATATTGACCATCCAAAATAAAGAACTATTTTGTAAAAATGGAGGGAAAGTTACTTAAAAATCTGTTTTATTTGTCGATAAATGTGCTAATGTAATATCCCAAAGAATCAGATATTACAAGTTTTGCAGCTAGTTTGTGTGTGTCTTCCACACACTGCAAGTTCTTTGGTAACATACGCAGCTGCAGAATACGCTACTAACACAACTTAGACCAAATGACGCTTCATTAGTTTAAAGTTGTCATAACTCATTGGCTGTTAGGAGTGAGTGCATGTTAAAAAGTTACCACCCTGGTTGTGTACCTGAGAGGTGCAGCTGGTTGAGCATCGCTTCCAGTTTATTTGAGTGGAAACCAGTCCGCGGCCCTGGTTCTCTGTATCCTGTGTGTGAAAGGTAACTGTGGCTATCTGCTTCATTGCTGGGGTGTTCATCATCATGGTGGCCGTCATCGTGGTCCGCGTCTGCTTCATGATGGTCATCACTGTGGCCGTCATCGGGATCGTCGGTGTGGTTCCTGTTGTCACTGTGATCGCCATCGTTGTGGTCGTCCTTGTGGTCATCTGGGTGTCCGTCATCGTCATCGTGATGGTCTCCGTCATCTCTGTGGCTGCTGTCTTCATCGTGGTGGTCCGGGCCGCTGAGGGAGGAGGTGCGATGGTGCAGCTGCTGCTCCAGAGCGCTGATCTTCCTCTGAAGCAGCTCCTTCAGAGAGCTGGAGTAGGTGATGGACGTGTTCCTCTTCTGCTGAGGAAGGTGAAGAACACACAGGTGCAGCATTGGTAACAATGAGTACTTCCTTCCCTGTGCTTCCTATTTACAACAGTGGGGACAGAGGCATCAGTGATGCTTTGACATAGACACAAACTCAAGGAATCATGTGTCATAGTCTGTCACCTGCAAGTCAAAGAGAGCACTTGTGTGTCTCTTCTTACTTCTTTGCCTTTACATTCCCGATTAATCTTTCAATGTCAAAAGCAACAGTCTGATATTAATTGTGTCTTCCTGTATCTACTTCTGCTTCTCTTCCTCTCAGGTAATCCCGGCTTTGTCATTGCGCATGCCCTGATTACCAGTCTGTCGAGGGAGATTACGATAATTACTGCGGATGTTAGACTCGTGCTGCCACCCCCCCATCTCCTCTACACACTCAACAGCTCCTGACATCAATCTGTGATCACGATTCAGGGAGAAGAGGGAGCAGAAAAAGGACAAAATAGATATATCAAGAGAGTAGAAACAGTGAGTAACTAAAGGGAAAACAGGACCACCTGAAATGAAATCTCCAGTCAATCCAATGCTTTAGTGAATTAAGCAAGAGTATCTTACATCAGTGACGTCCACCTCTGAGCCTGTAGTCGCTCTGAGGGGCCCACTGAGGTGAGTGGCTTTAATTAAGTAATTCATTGTACTTAGTGGGCATACTACTTTGGGACTTGATTATTCAGCAATCTGGTGACGGCAGCATTAATGTGTCCAAACAATGAAAAGACACATAAGGGCACGCTGCACATCACAAGCCTCCCTCTACTTCCTCTTTCCTATTCATCAACTGTATTATATTTTCTTTTAACCCCATACCTTTGCTTTCTTCCTTTAGTTTTGTTTGCCAGCACTAAGTTGAAAAAGTTCCCCCCCATCGTTGCTCACCTGCAGATTGTCCAGCCTCTCCTTCAGCGCCTGCAGCATCCTCTCCGTCTGCTCTGGTGATGATGTGATGTCCCCCGGTGTCACATGTTTATCCTTCCCCTGGCGGTTGATGCTGTGGCCCCCGTCGGCTCGTTGCCCCCCCGCAGAGGTGTAGTGCGGTGAGTCTGGTATGAGGTTTCCATGGTGACCCTGCTGGTTGCCATAGTGCCCGTTGTCATCGTACGTGTGATGGCCGGCCACCCCCGCGTGCTGGGGGTGTGAGGCTGTGCCGTGGAAGTCGTCGTCAGGCGCCGCGCCTCGTCCGAGGCCCTCGCACAGGACGAGCTTGGCCGTCAGCTCTCTAATGGTCTCTCTCTGGTCCAGGATGGTCTCTTTCTGCTGGACATTGCTCTCCCTGAGGTGGAGGATGGTGGCTTTGGCCTCCTCGCTCGCCCCCCACCAGCCAGCAGGAGGTGCACTTTGATGCCCTGGTCCACCAGGCCCTGCTGCCCCTACACCTGGACCCCCTGTAGGGAAGCAGGCAGGGTCCGCGTCCACAGGAATAGGGGTGCAAACAAAGCGTGGGTGGGCTCCATAGTCATAGTCAGACCCTGAGCTGGCAGTTGAAGGGCAAAGGAGAAGTGAAAGTAAAGAAAACCCAATGGGAACAAGGAACATGTGTGGAGACGGAGAGTTCCTCATAATCTCCATCCGCAGTTCAGCCGGTAAGTCTAAGGAGCTTGGCTTCACTTCAAAATGTGTGATGCCAATTAAAGTAAAGGTTGTGTTGACTTCTTTGATGTCGAAGAGGAGACATTAGGGAGCATGATCTCCATCGGCAGAGTTCACAGTTTTGTCTTTTATCTTCTTTATCTCTTTGTCTTATTTGCTTCCTCTCTCCCACCGTCACTGAACAATGGAATAAACCTGTAAAACAAAAAATCTGATTTTAGATTATGGTTTTCTAGCAGCATCAACATAGGAGGGACACAACAGCACAATCATGTGTCCTAAAGGCAGCGTTTTATGGAGACTTTTATTGAGTCAGCGATGTGCTTATTCAGCTCTATTCCCAATTATAATGCTGATGTTGTTTTGGTTTGCATTACATTTTCATTCATCTGATACTTTTGTCCCAGAGTCCTGTATTTGTATCTTCAAGTTAATTAACAGACATGTCTGTTGTTTGTTTGTGCTGTTCTAGTTATAGTCAATTTCCTCAAACAAAGAAAGAGACACTTTTAGACCAGGCTGGTGCATATGAACGGTCTTCTGTTCCCAGCAGGATGTGATGGTGGATGATCACCTCAGCGGGACGTCTCTGGCCCCAGTTAGCGGCAGTCTGTCTGACCAGTGACCTTACATGACACGGGCATGTGGCCAAACTACCAGAGGCTGTCCAGACAAGGATTAGTCCAAATCACAAGTGTGACATCCTGACTGGACCACACAATGTCACGAGACTTTTGTTGGTGGTGTGTACATACTTTGATGGTTTTGACTTCCTTAAAGCCCAAAAGGAAGGCTGCAGAGACCCATTCAATCGGTTCACAAATGGAATTTGGTGGTTATTTAAGTCTTTTACTTGGAGGATTGGATTAAAAGCAGTACATTGTTTAAAATCTAAATCCCATAATGATCCCTAAGCATCCATGTGTCCATGCGGTTCCACATTATATTCCCTATGTCTGCATCATTAAGCCTGGCTGACCCCTCTGAACACCGTAACATGTCCTTCATTATACAGGGTCGGCATTTTGAAATGGCACACATGTGACGTAGCAGCTAAACCTCACTGACCACCTGTTGCTCACAGTGACCAGCCTCCTCTGTGTGTGTGTGTGTGTGTGTGTGTGTGTGTGTGTGTGTGGGTGTGTGTTGAAAGTTCATACATGATTCACTGTACTTTATCAATAATGAAACGGAGTGGAAAAATACCTAGAGACATAGTCTGTTGTACGACAATGATCATTTCTGCCTGAATAAAAATCCAATAACAAAAGCCAATTTAAAAAATGTTATATTGAGCCTCAGAATTAATTTAGAAATAATTCCTTGTTTTGATTACTTGAGAATCATCAGTGATATACTGTACTTATCATTATAATAAAGAAACAGCCTTTGAACTTAAATGTATTCTGTCTCTGCAGTCCCTGTTGTGATGAACGGGGCTTACAGGAGAGACAGATGGTCGAGGTACAAAACCGTGTCACACCCAATCACCACAGTTTAGCCCTGAGTTTATCACCCACAAGTCACTCAATTAACCTAATTGCACACAGTTGTTGGCTACCTTAACCAGAGATGAGTGAGCTCGCGTGCTTCTGTTGGGGGGTGGGTGGGGGGAGTAATCCATGGTGAGCAGTGGGCTCGTGCAACATTCCTCCACCATATGGTCAAGGTGGATATTTAAGTTGTGCGATTAGTCCCAAATTAAAAACTGACAGCAGCAGTTAGACCTGTGATCAAAAAACTCTGACAAACAGAATAGAGAACTCTCTTTTTGTAAACAAAGTGATTATTTCTAGACAACGAATGGATGGCGTTAAAGCTATAAACGTCCCGGTGCATTACAAGATCAATGTCAACATCATTTTCTCTGGTGAGTGGTTCTCCCAAAATTAGTTGAGACACTTTTTTTTAGGTTTAAGAAAAGCCTTCCTCAGTGTAAATCACATCCTGTTAAATTCTCATTGCTGGTGCTTCATCCACTTCATAGTCTTTCTTGTGTTTTTACTTAAATCTGTGAGATGCCAAGACAACAGATTTGGAAGTTTACTGTCCATATAGAGCATCTTCTCATCACTGCTACATTATATTCTATTTTGTATGTTTTATTACATGTTGAATAATGAATTAATCTAGTTGGAACAATAAAGATAAGGCAAAATGGAGCATTAATTATCATGAAAAAAGCTTTAAATGCTATTTACTTCTATCTTAATTAACATTGTCACGTCGCCCATTATAGGATCTACATGATAGGATATATATGGGCAGCAGAGGTTTTTCTTAATATATTGCATTTCTGTTAAGAAACAGAGAGAAACTGTTGTCTCTTGCACCTGCGTTCTAGTTCATTCTCATGGCCTGCTACACTATTAGGACAGTGAGTAGAAATCTCTATTTCATGACAGATTTTTATCGCCCCTTAGTTGGAATCTAACAAACTCTGCAGCCGATCTCTTAAACATCCATTAAACAAAATGTGTTGAAGTGTAACTCTTCCATTTACCCTTCAGTTAACTTTCCTTGTCCTTAATCTTCATTGAAAACTAAAAGAATCCTATTTTGTAGAAAATCGAAAGTATATAAATGTACCTCTATTTTCCATCAGTGCTGGATAGAGATACATGAATTACCATGCAAGGATCCCTCGTTCTGTGAACCATTTCTTTCAGGAAAGTCTTTTGTTAAATGCAAATGTGTCGGACAGTCGCATCATTGGAGATTTCTCAACTGGATTGAGATAACTTCAGTTACATTTAGTCGCAGTTGCTTTTAGTAACCGACGTCAACAATCTCCAAACTCATGTTTCTTTCTTCCTAATCTAAGTTCTTTCATGTCATATTTGAATGACTGACTAATTACAAAGTGTTCATATTTCTTACTGAAAAAAGGTTTAAGTTTCTTTGCTTCTAAAGGATCAAAGTTAAACACTACAACTCTTAACTGTCCTCTGCTACACCTCGTCCAAATAATTGAGCTAATATAAGACAAGATTAACACACTGTTTCAGTTAAATCCACACGGTAAAAGCGTCCGTACCTGTGAGTCCCTGTGAGTCCCCTTTGAGTCCTTGTCCACTGGAGTGAGTTAGTCCACCTCACACACTGATCAGATTGAGAGAGATTTACTCCAGAGAAGAGCTCAACTCTTTCTATCCCTCCTTCGTTGTCTCTACCTCTCTTTTCTCTCCTCCTCCTCTCCTTCAGCTTTGTTGTGTTTTTCTTGGAAGACCCCTCCTCTTTTCCTCAGACTCTTTTGCCTCTTTAACATCCTACTCGCTGCTCCATCGTCTTCATTTTTATCCTGGAAATGTGCTTATATTTGTTATATATTGTCCTTCTCTGACAACCTACATGAACACTTTTTGTATTTTTATTTGACCTCTGATGTACAATTGTCCTCTCTAACAGGACACAATCATTGGCTCAGCTCCTCCAGCGAGACGTCACACAGCTCACCTAGATCTCAGCACGGGAGTAATTGGCCTGATTAATTACTCGTCTCTTCCAGTCTGACTGACAGCCAGAGAGGCAGCGGCAGGACAGCAGATGGCTGATTTAAGGTCAAAGAAAATCACTCAACACCAGCTAATGGAGCCAGCATGTTGATTACAGGACAGACAACAGGTTTTAGACACAATGGCATATATCGGGCCTAAAACCTTGTCAAGAACCTGAATAATTGCAAAGGTAATTGGTTCTGTGACTCTGTCTTTATGTGTAATTACATCTTAATTACTAAAGTTAAGTTTCTCAGAAGTGTCTGAA